TAGATGTTTTCCATCTAACAATTAATAACAAGAGAAATAATAAAAAGTTAGTGTTAATACCTCTGTTCGTTAAGTTAGATGATTGTGTTTTCTATATTTTGTGAAATGTCTATACGTATTATAAGAATCCTGAGTTTCAAATATACTATATATTATATGAAGACCATTAGCGAAGGACCCACAAGACCGGGTTGCCTATTTGAGATATTTTTATGCAGCTTGGGATAGGAGAACCTTTCGTCCACGTATTCACATACCTCTTGGATTCTTACAATGCAGTCGTCGAATGGCTTGTGTTGCGCCCAACTTCTGTGCTAACACTTTAGGATTGACGAACTTAATTTTTGTCACGAAATAGGGATAACAATAATTGAAATCAAAGCTTTTATTGGTCTGTTATATATTGCAGGAAAGCATTAGGCCGGGACTAAAACCGAACAATTGATGCCAAGTTTGGAATCTAAATATTTCGTCTCATTATAAGTGTACGAACATTTCGATTTTTACTTCGATCCCTTAGATTTTTAGACCGAAAAACGCCCAAATAGACCGTTAGAAACTGTTGTTATTCAGTTTGAGCAGACGTGACTATGATGTGAAATTGGAGGGGAAACCAATTTAATTTTATTATAATTGTTTCTAGTATTCAGTGTGTTTTTTTTTCGTATATAGTGGTATACAGAATTTAATGTTTAAGTTCCTAATTTTGCCAACGGATTTTTCGTTTTGATTTTTAATATTTGTATTATTATGGAACTGGTTCGTACTGAATAAATATATTTAAAAATCGTGTTATCTCATTTTATTTCAGTACAATGAGAAATTTATTGGTATTTTTGATCAATAAATTGATTTAGTGAAGTGGATCTCACAGTGATCTTCCATATGACTCTAAGGCTAGCGATCTTCGGAGTGTTGATAACGAAATAAAGTACTTTTTTTTATGTTGCCACTTTTTTAATTTATTTAAATTGTTCAGTTATATTTATAAAACCTGGACATAGTGTGAGAACTACCATTTCATCATTAATCAATGTTTCCAAATGGGAATTGATTAGAAGAAGTGCTAAAAGGAAAATGTTCACTCAAAAGTTGTTTCTGTGTTTTGTGTGGTGATTATACCATGTGGTTTTGCAATAATTCTCTTTACAAAGGTGTAAGCTACTATTTCATTCGAGATAAATTCCTTTCACGTGACCTCGGTGCTGACCTCATATTTGATCGTAACAGATTGTCAAGTTACAGCCACAACTCACCTGGTACATTTGATTGTTGACATACGATTATTTAATTATAAAATATTTTACTAAAGATACTCCAAATGCTGGGAAATTAAATAAATTTTTTAAACGACTTCCGTATTTTAAAAAAAATAGGTGATATATTTAATGTGTCATTGCCTCATACTGAATGGGAATGATCTTTTTTTTCAGTTATAAAATTTAAATTAATTACAATCATTATTTTAGGTTCATATTGTATGTTACGTAAACGACTGATCTAAGATATTGATTAGTTATTGATACTTGTCTTTCGTTATACTAAACATCCACCACCAAGTCCCTGAAGATATGAGTGATTCATTTCTTCTTCAAGTTCGAAATCCTATCATATAGAGAATTTTCTCCCAATGGGAACAGGAGTGGAGTTGAATTGGCGTATCGAGTTGATAAGTTGGGGGTTGATAACGGAAGCCTCTGTTGGAACCGACGCTCCTTGAAAAACCTCATAAAACTTGGAGCTCGGGAAAGTTGTTTTTCTCTATTTCGTATTTTACTTTATCTTCGGCTTCTTCTTTTATTTCGTAAAGGAAACGAAAGCATATTCTATATTCTTTGATGTTTTACGCTTGAAAGGTTTAAAAATGTACTTTTTTTTTACTAAGATAATGTTTAAATTTTGTTATACAATTAGCATGATTTTTTTTTTATGCTTCTATTATTTCAATAATCATAGCTAGCAATTAATTTCAGTTAAATATTTTTTTAAATAAGAGGGTACCATCTATATGGACTTCTCAAATATACAGAGAATCCAAAACGACCCACATACGGAATCTACAAATATTTCAGTCAAAAACTTTTAGGACTATAACTAAAGCTTTATGGACACAATTGACAGCTTCAGAGGTTCAAAAGAAACTGGATAAGGGATTTCTTACCTAAAAATATACTCAAGGCAAGAAGGGATGCCGCTGGGCACTCTTTTCCCTTACGCCGATCAAGCAACTATCTGTATTTTGCCTACAGCAGACTTTATTGTAAGTATTTCTGACAGGTGTGGTTAAAAGAAAATTAAATTAAAAATTAATGTATCCCCTGTTTAGCTGACCGACCCCTATTTTACAAATTATACAAATGAAAAGGTTTATGAAATCAAGAGATTATGAAAGATGAAAAAACTCATGTCTTCAACAGTTAAAAAATTGTTATCTGAGATTATTGCGCAATACCCGTAAATCCGCGCGGTGAAGTTCTGAGCGCATTCCACATTATATGTAAAATAGTATATCGGTCTCTTGAAACGTTATTATATAATAGATAGATATTTTAAGCTTATCAAAAAATCAATAATATCATAATATTATTAATCAGTTCAGTTCGTGTTGAACTGCTAACTAAACTTCTGAAAGACATCTTGTTTTAAAACTCGATGGATCGACAAAAAAAAAGTTTTGGTATTTTTATTAAATAAATATAACAAAAGAAGCAGGAATTTTATATTCTGAGTATCTTCTTCAACAACTGTCTTAAATAATAATTGTATATTGTCAAATGTGCTATATTGAACACATTTCGGTATTATTCAATTTGGATTTTCGACCACAGATCACTTAGTAACCGCGTAAGTTAGTATATGTTCAGAAATAGTTCTGTTTTTGGAAAATTATGAAACTATTGATTAAATAATTTTTTACCTTAATGATATTGTAGTACAGTGTGAACAAATAAACCTGTTTACTGATATCATTTACTAAGGTAAAATGCATTAGGGAACAGGATACCTATCAAATGTGGGAGGTTTTAGTGGTGTATTGAAGTTAAAAATAATTTTAAAAAAATAATCAACAACATATGTGACCCAGTCAGTTTTAATTCTTACATATCTTCTTAGACACACGGGTAGATTCTTAGTGAGGTACCAAGTTTCAATATCTGTAGACAATAATTTCCATACGGCCCACCAATGTGTTTAGATTGACATCAAAGTATCTCTGTTCCTTAGGATTTTCGTGATTTTATTATACGTAGGTAATACAATAAAGGTAGGAACTTAATATTGAAGGTAGAGAGGATACGATTCAGTGTATACATTTTGTTATAGACATATTTTACATTGCAGTATAAACATCTTTTGTAATCTCCTCTGTCATTTTATGATTCCCCTTCTCCCTAAGTCTGGGACAATATGTTAACCGTCGTTTAAGAGCCGACTATGGAACTCATCAGCTTCCAGAGCCTGGAGAGAGTTGGGCAAGTTATTGGAATGAATTAGGGAAGTTGGTAAGGGTAGGGCACTCCTGTAGCTGAGCCGACAATAAAACGAACAATGCTCCCTGGATTATTCCCCCTTATACATATTTATAGCTGCAATGAAAACAAAATAAAACGCTCAGAACTTCCACTTCTCTGTTATCTCTGCTGACGGTTCTGCAATTATAATCAGGTAGTGCAATTAATTTATATATTTATGATTATTATATCTATTACGGAGAACTATTTTCTTTAGTCAAATAAAAGATAATGGTAATATGATTACTATTAATTTGGCTGAGAATAACATCCGGTTAAATTTATTACCTTCTTTATTATAGAAACTTTATCTTTTTATTTGAGTAGTAGTTATTCATGTTTAAAAATGTTTTATGTTGCATATTTAATTATAATATCTTATTAATTGAAATATTAAAATAAATTACATTCCACATCATTTAGAAAACATTATAAATTATTACACAATAGTTTATCATTTCCAAACAACTATATATCAAAGGTAATATTACTTTCCTTGTCACATAAACGTAAATAAATACAAGAAAATTTCCAATATTGGCCTAAATAATCTTATTCATCATTATTAATTTGCTAAGAAAATAACGATAATATTAAATGAAAAGCTAAGCGAAATCCAAGGTTCGATGCCGACACCACCAATCGCTTGTTACACACCTCCCTCCTCCTCCAAACCCAGTCTCTTGAGATCTGTTAAGAACTTTACCTTTCGGTACAATAAATATTAACCTTTTATGGATTCTTTCGTTACCAAGCCTAACAGTTTTACAAGTCCATTCGCCGTGATGTTATCACCTCAATTATATTAACCGGATATAGTTTACGCAATTCGTCGTTGTGTAACCGTCTGAACTAAGTCGCCAGAAATACTTTCCACAAATTGAAAATCAAAACGAAGGATACGAGCTCAGCAGTACAACATTTAGAAAATATTTAGCAAACTACAACTACAAAGTGTCCAATTTCATCAACTATTTTAGAAAATTTTGCAAACTTTTAAATAATCGTACATTAACAAATAGTGTATAGTTTTGAGTTAATCCAAAATCTTTCACTGGGTAATCATTTATTAAATCAATGTAGTATTATAAATAAACTGACTATTAGATTACTTTTGCAAAAGACAGTTAAAAGATGTGAAATTGAAATATGAGGGATAGTAGCAAAAACAATTTGAAATACTGTAAGAGAAAATGATGAATTAACTTCGTAGTTTTAGCAAGAGCTACAATACAAATATAAGCAATAAATTCATAATTTTTGGTAGGTTATATAAAATAAATGTATAAGTTTAAATTTTAATTTATTATGCACAATATTGTTGTAAATAGTTTATAGTTGATTCTGATTCTGAGAAGGGATGCTCTGTTCAATATTTTCAACTTTTCTAAATTCTTCAGATTATTAAACAATCGGAAATAGCTGATGCTTAGCTGTAATCTGAACCCAGAGAATTTAATATCAGTTGAGAGGAATGTTCCTGTTTAGATGTCATTTTTAAAATTACTGAAATTCCATCTTATCAATTCACAATATTGTATTTCCCGGACTCATAATCTAAAATATTCATGTAATTATTTTTTTTTATATTAGTATATTTAAAGTTATTTATATTGTTATTTGATTTTATCAGTGAAGTTATGATCGCCAATGAATTTAAGTAGAATTTATAACTGATTCGCATGATTCAGGTTTGTCTTGCCTTTTACCACTGTGAAGGGAAGATACAATTATATCCTTATTTTATTATAAATAGTCATATTTTAATTTCTGATCCTATTTATTGAAGAATTTTTTTTAGGATCTGACTAAGTATTAGGTTTGCATAAATATAAACGTTCAATAAAGTTTTTTATTTTTATGATAATCTTTCATGTCAATACTACATTTCTCTTTTCCTAAGAACGATGAGTTTGTTTTTGGAGAATGTTACATTAATGCATGCAAGAATGAAATCCTAATCCTAGCTTTCCATTGGGATTGTTGCTAGCAGTAAGAAGGAATATTATCATTACTGTTTGTGTTTTTAAAATATTTAAATATGGTAAAATTTTCTTGCTGAAAATGTGATATAGCTCAACTTTTTAACATTCTCTGGGATCCAAGTATCGAGTCAATATCGTGACGAACTAATTGAATCCTACGAATTGTCGAAGACTCCCTATTTTTAAATCTAATCTTGTTTTTTTTTCATCTTTTTCACAAGCAGGATAGATAAAAAACTTGGTTTCGGGATCTTCCTTATCGTGTTTTTTCTCTGTGGTTTTATTACTTTATAAAATGACCTTAATGATTTTTTAGCGCTTATTCATTTAAAGTAATAACCCTATAGTTCATACTTCATTTTCTATTTTTGGTCCGATTGATTAGTTTTTTTCTGTGATAGATTTGCTTTGATTGGTTTTATTGAGATTTTTTTTTCCCTTTTTGGCTTTGGAATGTGGAAGCAGTTGATAGATTCTATTATAACAAGATATTTTAGCGAAATTAACGCACACTTTAAAAACTCTAAATTTAAAGTATTACGAACGTGAAAAAAAAAATTAAACCCGATTTTTTTTTTTACGGATATAAAGGTTTTAAAATCCTTTGTGTCCTTGAAAAAAATTATTTTTGTAAATATTTGAACATCATATATCAATAATATCGTACGAAGCTTTAATTATACCTTTATATATATATATATATATATATATATATATATATATATATATATATATATATATATATATATATATATATATATATATATATATATATATTTGTGTGTGTGTTTATGTTTGTATGTATATCTTTATTTTCTCTCTCTTTCTCTTTCTACATATATTTTTTATCAGCAATTATTTTGTTAATACTGAATTTATTTACAGCCACACTGGCATTAACACTGTAGTTATGATTTGTTCTAAAGGGACAACAGTTCCCAAATAATAAAAACAAAAATTACTTAATTTTCATTTACACTATATCACAAAATAAACGCAGACAAGGAACAAATGGTTTAGACGGAGATAGGGGCAATATAGATGACAATGTCATCTATATTACCCATATCTGCGATTATTGTGTGATATAGTGTAAATGAAAATGAAAAAAAAATGTATTATTCTGAGACTTTTGTCTCTTTAGAACAAATTATAAGTAGTGTTAATGCCAGTGTGGCTGTACATAAATTAAGTATTTACAACATAATTGCTGATAGGAAATATATGTAGAAAGAGAAAGATAGAGAAAATAAAAATATACATAACACACACACACACACATACACACACACACACACACACACACACACACAGATACAGACATATACTCTGAAAGGTAGAAGAGATTATTGAATAAGAAGAAGTTTTTAGCATGACTTCAGTATTTATTTATCTTAAAGGCATAATTTAAGTTTCGTACGAATTTTCATTTTTGATGTATGACGTTCACATATTCACAGAAATAATTTTTTGCAAGGACCCAAAGTATTTTAAAACCTTTATATACGTCAAAAACCACAGGTTTGAATTTTTTCGCGTTCGCAGTACTAGTATTAAAAGTTTGCGATAATTTATTATTGAAATAGGAGAATGTTAGTGATGTGTTCAGGGAAGTTAAGATGAAAGTTGAAAAATAATTTATTTTGGTTTGAACAAAAACGAATAGAATTAAACAGACGATATGGTCTTTTATCCAGATTACTTGACAGACGTTCAAAATTATCTTTAACTAACAAACTAACCCTTTATAAAGTTTTACTTAAACCTATTTGGACTTAAGGCATAGAGCTGTGTGGTTCTGCTGAAACTTCTAACATTAAAAATGTTCAGTCCTTTCAGTCAAAAGTGTTGCGAAGGATAGTTGACGCACCGTTTTATGTCGCAAATGATACACTACATAAAGACTTGAACGTACCTACAATTTTAGATACTGCAAAAGCGAAATACAACTTTTACTTAAGACTGACGTACAACATGAATCCTCTGATAGAAATTCTTCATCGTACAAGAAACCCGCACAGCCCACTACGACGATTACTTAGGCGTTGGCCAAAAGACCTGCTGATCTGATTTATATCCCGGATGTCATGGGAGGCTGTGAAGCTGCCAAAAAATTAGCTCATTGCAAAGAACTTTGCAGATTGCAAATTTAATCAAATCAAATGTTCTATATTTTTGTTTCGTTAATAAATAAATTTTGGTTTGATATATTAGATCTTCATCAGGGTTATTTATTATTATTTCGGTTCAACTTTGCTTTGATTAGAGACTCCAAGTTATGTCCCAACGACTTCAGATGTTAGCACGGATTTGATATACCATTTTACTTGCAGTCGATATCCCACATGACACGACCCTATGAGAAGACAGTTATGCGAATGAGCCCTCGCTATGAGGCTGGCTGTCGCATTTATGACTATAAGAACAGATGGAGATGAGATAGATGTGGCTATAATTTAGACAAGAGGGAGCATATAAGATATTTACTGCCACCGGTTCTGCAGAAGAAGTGACTTGGGGACAGGCAGAGCAGGGCAGTATACTTTATTGGCTATATAAACCCTCCCCCCCCTCCATTCGCCCCCCTTAGCTCCTCCTGCCCCCATTCCAATATCAGGGATCTTCACTGATCCCAGGTCTCTGAAAGAAATTTACTAAAAAGAGATTTTCATTGGAAATCGCTAATCCGGCAGTTGAAGCACAGATTTAGTTTATTGCGAAAGGTTTATGTATATTCGATTAAATTCTATTGAGTAAAAGCTCGTAAAATGTTAAGAAGCTCTATGAATATTCAATTCTTATAGCTTAACCAATGGAGGTTGTTGCTGAAATTTTCTTTTTCTTTTTTTTTTTTTTAAATATTATCTTTAACAGTAAAGTTTTTATTTGTTGACATAGATACACATGGGAATACATTTGAGAAAGAATGAAATTAAAATGGAATTTGTTGACAGGTTAAAGGCTTGAACTGATTGTTATTATCCTGTTACGAAATTACTTGCCTCCCGGCTTCTATCAAGAAACTTATAAAATCTATTCTATAGTATTATATTAAATATTATTATACTTCCTATGGTCCTCAGAGCGCAAAATTTATGGATAGACATTACAGTTTTTGAAAATAAAGTATTACTTTAATATATTTACACCAAAGAAGGACGTGTCAACTGGAGACTTGAGACGGCTACACAAAACCACATTGCGTGAAATATGTGTGGTAAATTTAATTAAGAAGAACGGTTTGCTGTGAAATAAAATTGGCTTGTAAAATTGTACATAGAACGTAATGACAAAAAAAAACCTTGAAAGGTACTGATATGTGCTGTGCTAATTCAGAACCATAGGAGGATTGCATTTACTGTGATTTAGCATGTTAGGTTTGTACGACGATCGATTGAAGGGTGTATTGGTATCGAATCTTTGCCTTGGCTAATCCTTGTTCTGTTGTTATTATATAAGTTTCTTCAAACAAAGGAAGATGGTTTTGTGGATAAGGTCAGGTATGAAACCCTGTCAGACTCAGTTTTTGTTTAAATTGCGGATCAATGTTCTAGCTTGAATTTATTCACACTTACGAAATTTTATAATTTTTTTACGAAGCGTTGGATCATATTAAGTGAATCGTGTAATAACAAAATATAACACGGTTTTTCTTTTCCTTGTTCATTTTCGGATAGTAATTTGGCTAAGATAAATAAGCACTAAAAAGTTAAATTACAATGAAAAATACATCTCAATAATAAGTCGATAATCTCTTTACATGTTTATATGTATATATATATATATATATATATGTGTCACCTTTTAGTAGTGTATTAAATGCGAAAATCATATTTTTGAAAAATACTCAAAAAGCGTGGAATTTTCATTGCTGCAAGCTCAATTTTCGAGTTTCAATCCATGATTCAAAAGTGGATTTCATCTCTGTAGTACTTCCCCTATTAGACACATAGAATGAAAGAAAAACTAGCTTTCAGGTCAAACCCATAAAAATTAAAAAAATTGTACTTAACAGGCTATTCACAGGTCAACAGATATATAAACACTATATTTTCCTTATGATACATGTATGGTTAGTAATTAATTTATTATAAACAACTCTCTATAATATATAAGAAGTAGAGTGAGGTGAACCTGGTCTTCCATGCTTGGTCTCGAAAACAGCCTGTATCTTATAGGTGTTCATTCTGTTATATCAGTGATGAATCGATTTTGGTAGTTTTCTGGTATTGCTCTACCATTAAAAAATCAATTTTTTAAAAAAATTATAATTGAAAACATATGGTACATAATATTATTTATCGACAAGAAGACAACCATTGTAAAATTAATCAATATCTTTCATAATTCGTCGCTCTAATATTAATTTATAATTATTCATATATGTCATTGATATAGTAAATATAGTGTAACTAGTAGGTAGTAGTTATATTATAGTCGAGTCCAATATGGTTAAGTTTAATCAAAATATTATTTGTATAATATCTTATAGCACAATACTGAATAATATGATTTATTTATGTATTTATACATCGTAAACTTGGTTTAAATTGGCTTGCATATTTTGGTATAATTTTTACAGTTAGGACTTAGTTGATATCTAAAGATTATATGTGTAAATTATTTCTCATTAATTCTTTTCGTCTGTAATAGGTTAGTAGAAAGCAACATTTTTTTTTTTTTTTTTAATACCGAATTACACTATTATATTTGTTGGGGCCAGGGTTACTTCAAAATTGAAGTACAGATCTTTCCCCGGTGCGTTTCCTCAATGGTGGGGAAAATTAGAGTGAAATTAAAAACGTTTGGAAAGAAGGAGAAAAAAAATTAATGAATAATGAGACCTGTAAAACATTAGAGAAAAAACAAATGCATTCGAAGAAAATATTAAAAAATAGAAATATTCAATAAATCAAATAATGGAAAAATGAAAATCCCCTTTTGAATGTTTACAATTTATTGAGAAAGAAAAAGAGATAAAAATTTATATAAAAGTTGAGATAAACAATACTTAAAAGCTACGAGAAAAATAAAACATAAATACAACATCCAGAGAAAATAAAAGAAAGAAAAAAAATCAATTTCTAAAATTGTAAATAAAACAAGTGAATTGTCCAAAATAATAAAACAAATTTAGGGAAGAAAACAGTTAACTAAATGTTCAAATGTCTTGGTGAGAATAAAAAACACAACAAGCCAAGTTGGAGGTTCTGCCTCCAACCTGTTACCTTCCTATCGACATGTATCGATTACTCGGCTGCGCCCAACAGCTGTTCTTCGAAAATGGCGCTGGTGAGGTAAACTAGACGAGACCTGGAGCTTGGTGAAGATGGTTGGGGTAGACTTCCACTACATGGGTCTAGTGTCGACAAGCGCTATCTCCAGACTTCCGAAAAAAAACAACAAGGCACTTATACTAGGCCGGTGGCCTTAGTACCTTAACCTAAGGAGGTTAAGATAGGCAGGGCGTGTAGCTCGTAGCAATCCATCAGAATGCCATTACACGACAATGAATACCAAGGTAGTAGGCAATAGACCACGTGGGAGGCCAAAAACCAGATGGATAGATAGGTTAAACAAAGATACGGCTGAGCTCCATGCAGCAAACTGGAAAGCGGTAGCGCAAAATAGGCTGTGGTGGAGAAGGTTGGTGCAGGCGGCCAAAAATCTACAAGGTTGTAGATTAAACCGAAAAAATATTTATATATTCTTATAATATATATATTAGAAGAATGTTGAATTTTAAGGAATCGTATGATATGTTTCTAGTTTCAGCTGTATTTAATGGAGCTGTGATAAGGTATTAAATTTAAAAAAATTGTGTATCGTATAAACTTGATACTTTTCCTGTTAAAAGGGTAATATAATTTCCTTCTCAACTAAAAGCTCTTCCGTGTAGGTTAATTGTAAAATGAGCAAACGATGTTAAACGTTGTTCAATAAATGTAGGAAATGTTTATCGGGCAACGGTCAATGCAAAGCTTGATCGGTTTTTTTATTTTATATTCGTTGGCTACCTAAAGTGTTATTTGCCTGATTGAAAACCAAAAAATTATAAATAAACGAAGAAAAATACTGCCATTATTTAGCTGATGGTGAATATATTTTGGATAATAATTTGCTTACTGTTCATCAATTCGTTTAATTACAAATAACGTACTTAAATAAAACAATAAAACTTGCAGTTCGTTGAAGAAGCTTAGTGTATGTACCATCCATGGTTTTTGGTACTTACAAATACTAAAAACTATAAGTTTATATCGTCTAAATCGAACTTCAACTTGATAATTATGTATTCAAATTTTATTCGCAATTATGAAAAAATAAATAAATATTTCCTATTTTTAACTATAACTGGTCACGTATATTTATTTTTTATAGTATAGTCACATCACTGTAATTAAACATTTAATGTCCTTTGAAATTTATATTTGGAACTTCATTTAACCACCATTTCATTTCTTCTATTCATATGATCTAATATTCATCCTAACAATTATTTTTTTTTTAAATTTATTTATTTATGATATTTACAACTTTATTTAGAAATAAAATACATTTAGTAAATTTGATGGCATGAAATCACTTCTTGAGAAACTACCCACTAGTAACTCTCTAAAAAACAAATGTATTTACAAACGGAGATCTCGAGGTCATCTTCTTTTCAGACGCCTCGGAGGGTCATCAAGGTTAGAAGAGGAAGCATGGTTTAAGAGGCGAGAGGATTTGAATGGTTATGAAGTTTATTATGGAAGGATATGTATCTGGATTGGGCCAAATCGGAAACATAAGGAGCATTAAGTTCGTTATGGATTATTTTATTTTTGACAAAGAAAAGAGCATTGAGGATTTTACGAAGGATTTTGGATGATTTAGTGGAGCAACAAAGCTAAATATTAATATCTTTATCCGATATTGTTTATTACATTTAAATTTGGCAGTCGAAAATCGCTATTTTTTTAAACAAAATTTAAATATCAAAATAAAGAAATAAAATTTAAAATTCTATAATTAAAAGAGGCCACTTCATTGGTTTTAAAATTACATGTTTTTTCGAAACAATTCCTGCTAAATATAGGTTTCTTTCCCTTTGTCTTAATTTTTCTCTTGCTTTTAGTAATGCATATGTTTAATATTAAATATTAATTTCCATATGGGTTTTAGTAATTTATTCAATACTGACTTTCCTCCATCATTTTCATTAAGTAAAAACTGTTGTCATTAATATATATCAATTTACTGATGCGATTCCAAACATAATGGGTTTATTTAATGTTTAATGTTAATCCTCCATGTTTTCTTTTCACAATTGAAAATATTGAGGCTCAAAAAGGCATGAATTTTTCAAAAATGAATGTTTCCTTTATGAATAGCATTGAGAAATTGGAGGCCTTGAGGGGCTTATGTTTGTATTAATTATTTTTTATTCTTATTTAATGGTATTCAGAATTTTATGCTCAGATTCCTAATTTTATCAACGTATTTTTCCTTTTGATTTTTAAAATTATGTAACTGTATTTTACTCCATAAATTTATTTAAAAACCCATCTTATATATTTTGCTTTAAGTAAATTGAGAAATTTGTTGGTATTTGTAATCAATAAATTCATTAATTATAAATGATCCCACTGATCCGTAGCGACCTTCCATGTGACTCTAAGGCTAGTGACCTTTGGATTGTTAACATAAAAAAAAATATATGAAGCAAGAAAATTTAATCTAATTTTGTGATTTTAATTGGATTGAGCCTGTAATGGTTTTGAGGATATAGGTCCTAATTGTAGTCTATAACGATTGTGAAAAAGAAACATGATAGTCCAAATAATTTTTAAAAAATGTATATTTGGAAAATGTAATAAGATGGCGGAGGATGGTTACGATAAAGGCAACTGGAGTATCCGTATCGGCCTATCTTCTTCCCCCTCCCCACCCCCCGCTACTTGATCCTCTCTTGTGACGATGCCAAGATCCATTCTTATATCCGTTACCTAGCCGATAAAAGAATACTGTCGCTGCTATATATCTAGTTGTCCTAATAAAAAGTCATTGATAAATTTCCAGTAGTGTCTGAATTAAAACTCATATATAGTGGCTTACAGTGAAATTGATACACTCCTTAGAAAAATAGAAAAGAAATGCTTCAATGGTCACAGTGAATAAATAAAACCAGAAATTTTTCAAAAAATATATTTGTAACCTCATTTTAAATATGAACTAACTCAATAAAATTAAAATATTTAACTGTATAAAAAAAAATACATCTAGTAAATTCGCACATGGATATAATGACATGGAACACATGTTGAGAAACTACCCATTGGTAGCACTCTAATAATATGTCTATATTAGGAGATCACGTGGCCATCTTCTTTTCAGACGCCTCGGAGGGTTATCAGGAATTGAATAGGAAGCAAGGTTAGAAACAAGAGGGTTGGGATGGTTATGATTTTATCATGTAAGGAAATATATCTGGATTGGGCCAAATTTGATACATAAGGAACAATCCACAAATGTTGTGGATGATTTTATTTGTAACAAAGTAAGGAGCAGTGAGGATTTACAATGGATTTTGGATTGTAAGGATTGGATACGAGAGGAATTTGAAGGTTTGGTGGAGACTTATAGCTCAACTCCGCAAGTCCAAATAGGCCTTATTATAGTCATGTAAATGAGTCTTTTGTAATTAGGTTAAAGCGTTTGTCTAGTATGTGTTGAAGTAGTCGGAAACGTCGAGCTGTTTCTTGTCGTTTCAGTCTGGTATGAGGATTTCAAGTTATACGTTTGTACAGGTACAGGAGTCCTAGGAAAACAAAAATAATAATAATAAAAAATAACCGTATAATTTTACCTCACAATCAAAGTGAATGATACCTCTCACTTCTTATTAACTTTTACGATTTATCTCTACTATTCCTTTCAGTCTGTTTGTAATAGAGTCGACCAATATATTGGTGTTTTCAGGCTTAGCCGATTTCATTCTTCGATATTTATTAAAGTCTTTTTTAATAGAAATTTCGTGTTTTCTTATTTCTACCTCTAATTTTGCCCACAGGTATTCTATAGGTAACAATATGACTTAGTGACTGTGGTGTTGTTTTCATAACTTTAGAACAGTTACACAGCATCCATTCTTTAACATTGGGCTGTGTGGGGTCATTATCCTGATAATAAATTTTTTTTTAGAAATTTTTTTGCACAATTTCTTCTCAAATTGTCTATGTAAACATATTTTTTCACTATGTCATTTGTTTAGTCATACA